CATTAAGAACACAAGAACCATGGATGAACATTCATAAACACAACAATAAAAGGTTGGATTTCCTTACCTAAGTCTTTAATTAGAGGTATGGAGGCTCAATGTTGTAAGAACTCCTTTAATCTTCCTAATTTCCAAGCAATTCTCTCAAGAACAAATCAATTCTCTCTCACTCTCTATCTTGGTCGGTTGAGACAAGGAAGGGCTAATGAATTGTGTTGTTTCTAATGTAATAAGGCTCAACAATAGTCCAAGTAGTGAGCCACTAGGTGTGACAAAATGGTAAATAAGTGTAACAATGCAATTTAATTCATTTTAATCTAATTTAATCATACCTAATCAGTTTTCAGATAAATATGCCATAAATTCACATTAGTTCTAACGATCATATAACATCAACCAATTTCAGATTCGGCCGCCGATAAGGTCTTCAATTCGCAGTTTAAACACAAAGACACGAACAGATAATCAAACAACCAAACAGATAGAATTACAATTAAACAGGTATACTCAGTCAATTCAGTTTCAATTTCAGTCAGCTAGTTCAGTAGTTTATTCAGTTCACTTATCAGTCATAATCAGTCTCAGTTTAGCAGTAATCGGTAGTTTAACGGTAAACAGTGGTGAGGGTTGTTACAGTTTTAGATAGTAAAAATGTCGTAAAATTAACAAATAATTAAATAAGTTACCAACATAAGAAATGACTTATCAAAAGATTCTTAAGCTATGTATGGTTTGATTTTTAGATTTTTTTTTAAATTAAAAATTAATTTGGTTAAGATAAAAATTATATAAAAATGACAATTATTTTTTATTTTTTATTTCTTAACCAAATTAATTATTATTTTTTAAAAAAAATTCTAAAAATCAAACTATACATAGCCTAAGAATCTTTTGATAAGTCATTTCTTACGTTGGTAACTTATTTGATTATTTGTTAATTTTACGATATTTTTACCATGTAAGTTTGTTTGGTAAACATTTATTTTTCATTTTTCAATTTATATTTACAAAAATTTTAAAAACTGTCATAAAAACTTGTTTGATAATTTTTTTGATTTATAAATGGTTGTCTCAGTTTATAAATTCGAGAAAAAAAATGTAAATTCAAAAAATGTGTTTACATTGGTTTTTAAACAGAAATTTAAAAATTTTACTAACAAATTTTTTTTTCAATTATTTTTTTTTTCAAATAAATTTTTTTAAATAATTTTTTTTCCAATGAATTTTTTTTCCAACTAATACTAACCAATGGAGTAATTGGTAATGCTACTTTAAATCTTAGGGAAGGGATTATAATTTTTAATATGTGAGGGGTGTCAATGTAATTTACCCAGTGAGGGCAAAAGTGGTACTTAAAAAAATTAAATTGTTGAGGGAATCTGTAATAAAACTTTAAATATCAAAAAGAATATGTAATTTCCAAAATATGAAGAAAAAAGTATAATAAATATAAACCTCAGGGGTGCCAGTGTAATTTACCCATATTTTTTCTTACTTCTCATTTTTTAAAATTTCACTGTTTCTCTTCTCTATCCCTTTCTTGTTCCATTATTTTTTTCTTTCTTCTTCTCGCTCTTATGTCGTGTATGGATATGGCTGATATTTTGTTTCAAAAATCTCAGTGCGAAAATGTTATCTCCGTCGTCTCAGGATTTCCCACCGCTTCCTACCCTCCCTCAAAATTGGATCCTCGTGCGTTCCCTCTCCGCACCCTTTCAATATATATATATATATATATATATCTCTCTCTCTCTCTCTCTATATATATATATATATATGTTGCGTATATAGACACAAACATGTAAAAACAGCATGCGTTTGACTTTATATTGTTAATTAGTAAGTATGTATGTGATATGTTGAAGATGAAGATGTTGTTCTGATTGAGTGGAATACGTAATTTAGCAGCTAGGATGCGGTGCTGTGACAGAGGACTTCTTGGCAGCTGTGGCCGTTTTTCCCAATCCAGATGACAAGATTAGAAGCACAAGCTTTCAGGTAACAACTCTTTTTGCTTCATTTTTGGGGAATTCTCTCTGTTGTATATTCAATGGGGGTGTTTGGTGGGGCTTTTTTGAGCCAACTTATGGCTTTTGGCTTTTAAAAAGTTATTTTGGACTGTTTGGTTAAACTTATTTCAAATAGCTTCTGATTCTAACAGCTTATTTTAAGTCAAAAAAGCTGATTCTGAGAAGTTGCTCACTCCTTACTTCTGATTATCAGTTTCTGCTGTGGACACGTTAATTCACGGTTATACTCTTAGATTTTTTTATTTTTATTTTTTTTAAAATAGAAAAAAAACCCAAATAGACTATAAAATATTATTATTATTTTTTATGAAAAATGTAGACAAATAGTGAATAATAAAAAATAAAAATTACTTAAAAAAGCTACTTCACAGCTTATTTAACAAACACTACTCAGCAACTTAAATCTATAATCCAACAGCTATACCAAACAGATTAACAGTTCCTGATTAAAGTCATAATCTATAATTTGTTAAGTTATAATTTATATTCTGTTTTAACAACTACACCAAACAGCACCATTATTGTTCGCTTCTCTTCTCAATTTACCACCATCAAGATTGCTTTCTTTTGTTAGGGCTATAAGGAATTTGGTGTAGCATTTTTTCTTTTTAATATCTGCTGGTTCGCATCCCTAATTGAAGGGTAAATTACCCTTTATATCGTAGTTTCAATTTCAACAATTTGAACTCTACAATTTCATTTTTTACGTTGTTAGTGTTTTGAATAAAAAAAAAGACCATGTGAGAAACTAGAGGACCAAAGTGTAATTCAAAAACAAATTATAGAGACCACCTGTGTAATAAATAAATTGTACCAGTGATCTCTATAGTTTTATTTATTTATTTATTTAAAATTTTACTTTAGTCCCTTTAGTTTTGCACCAATAACATTGTCATATTTAAAAAAAAAAATTAATCAATGTGTTTGGTTTGAGTTTTTTAGATTAAGTTTTTTGAAAACTGAATTTTTTTGTTTTCGTTTTTTTTTGTTTTTTTTTTTAAATTTTTTAAATTTTAAATATATTTTTTTATTTTTTTAGATGCACCTTACTTAGATGTATCTAAAAAGTAAAAAATTTGTAAAAAAATATTTTAAAAAATTTAAAAATACATAAAAATACATAAAATGTACTAAATTCTCGTATTTTTTTTTGTATTTTTGATATTTAGTGAATTTTTAAAAGATTTTTTTTACAATTGTTTTACTTTTTAGGTATATTTATGTTAGGTGGGTTCAAAAAGTAAAAAAATTACTTAAAATATAAAAAAAAATCAATAAAAACAAAAAAATACGAAAAATAAGAAAATAAAATTTTCTAAAAACAATTTAAAAAAAAAAATGAAACCAAACAAGCTGATTGGATTCATTTACCCAATCCACAATCATTTTAACTTAACTCATTTAAATTTATTTATTAAATAGATGAATTTAGATTAAATTATTTTAAAATGCATACTAACTATAAATAGATGAATTTAGATTAAATTATTTTAAAATGCATACTAACTTACTTTGATATGACCGAAACTAGTACGAGCCCGCCAAGTTTCAACCTCCAGTGATGTTATAGATTTTAGTATAAATATTTTTTAGATAAATTACACTAACACCCCTTAAAATTTATATTTATTACAATTTTTTTCTCACGTTTTGAAAATTACATCTCTATCCTTGAAGTTTAAAGTTTCATTACAGATTCCCCTCAATAATTTAATTTTTTTAAATACCAATTTTGTCCTCACTATGTAAATTACATTGACACCCCTCATATTTTAGAAATTACAATCCCCTCCCTAAAGTTTAAAGCAGCATTACCAATTGCCCTCTCGGTTAGTATTAGTTGGGAAAAAAATTTAATGAAAAAAAATTAATTGAAATTTTCTTTTGTTAGTGAAATTTTTAAATTTTGATTAAAAACCAACGTAAACTCATTTTTTGAATTTACATTTTTTTCTCAAATTTACAAACTGAGACAACCATTTATAAACAAAAAAAAATATCAAACAAGTTTTCACGATAATTTTTAAAATTTTCGTAAATATAAATTGAAAACTAAAAACGAAATGGTTACCAAACATGTTTCAGATAGTAAAAATGTCGTAAAATTAACAAATAATTAAATAAGTTACCAACGTAAGAAATAAATTATTAAAAGATTCTTAGGCTATGTATGGTTTGATTTTTAGATTTTTTTTAAAAAAATTAAAAATTAATTTGGTTAAGATAAAAATTACATAAAAATGATAATTATTTTTTATTTTTTATTTCTTAACCAAATTAATTTTTAATTTTTTAAAAAAAATTCTAAAAATCAAACCATACATAGCCTAAGAATTAATAAGTCATTTCTTACGTTGGTAACTTATTTAATTAGTTGTTAATTTTGCGACATTTTTACCATCTGAGGCCTATTTGGTAACTATTTTGTTTTCAGTTTTCAATTTATATTTACAAGAATTTAAAAAACTGTCATAAAATCTTGTTGGATAATTTTTTTTTTTATAAATTGTTGTCTCAGTTTGTAAATTTGAAAAAAAAAACTTAAATTCAAAAAATGAGTTTACATTGGTTTTTAAACAGAAATTTAAAAATTTTATTAACAATTTTTTTTTTCAATTATTTTTTTTTCAAATAATTTTTTTAAAATAATTTTTTTTCCAATGAACTTTTTTTCCAACTAATACTAATCAATGGGGCAATTGGTAATGCTACTTTAAATCTTAGGAAGGGGATTATAATTTCTAAAATGTGAGAAGGTATCAATATAATTTACCTAGTGAGGACAAAATTGATATTTAAAAAAATTAAATTATTGAGGGGAATCTGTAATAAAACTTTAAACATCAAGAAGGAGATGTAATTTTCAAAATATGAGGAAAGAAGTATAATAAATATAAACTTAGGGGTGTCAGTGTAATTTACCCATATTTTTTCTTCCTACTCATTTTTTAAAATTTAACTGTTTCTCTGTCCCTTTCCTGTTCCATTATTTTTTTCTTTCTTCTTCTCGCTCTTATGTCGTGTATGGATATGGCTGATATTTTATTTCAGAAATCTCAGTGCGAAAATGTCATCTCCGTCGTCTCAGGATTCCCCACCGCTTCCTACCCTCCCTCAAAATTGGATCCTCGTGCGTTCCCTCTCCGCACCCTTTCAATCTCTATTTCTCTGTCTTTCTCTCTCTCTCTCTCTCTCTATATATATATATGTTGCGTATATAGACACAAACATGTAAAAACAGCATGCGGTTGTCTTTATATTGTTAATTAGTAAGTATGTATGTGATATGTTGAAGACGAAGATGTTGTTCTGATTGAGTGGAATACGTAATTTAGCAGCTAGGATGCGGTTCTGTGACAGAGGACTTCTTGGCAGCTGTGGCCGCTTTTCCCAATCCAGATGACAAGATTAGAAGCACAAGCTTTCAGGTAACAACTCTCTTTGCTTCATTTTTGGGGAATTCTCTCTGTTGTATATTATTGTTCGCTTCTCTTCTCAATTTACCACCATCAAGATTGCTTTCTTTTGTTAGGGCTACAAGGGATTTGGTGTAGCATTTTTTCTTTTTAATATCAGCTGGTTCGCATCCCTAATTAAAGGGTAAATTACCCTTTATTCCATAGTTTCAATTTCAACAATTTGAACTCTACAATTTCATTTTTTGTTACGTTGTTAGTATTTTGAATGATAAAAGACCATGTGAGAAACTAGAGGACCAAAAGTGTAATTCAAAACAAATTACAGAGACCACCTGTGTAATAAATAAATTACAGCAGTGATCTCTATAGTTTTATTTATTTATTTATAAATTTAACTTTGGTCCCTTTAGTTTTGCACATGATTTTTTTAATATTCAAAATGTTAATGATACATGACGGAGGAGCCACATTGTAACAAAATTGAAAGTGCAGGCGTTTAAATTGAAACTATGAGGCCAAAGTAATACTTCGCTCAAACTAGAGGGACCAATGGTGTAATTTACCCCTAAATAAATACTTGGCACCTCATTGTTATTTTCTTCAATATAGTTGTACTTCTAAAGAAAAAAAAGTCAAAACCTGCATTTTGGTTAAGAGGATATACTCTGTATGACCGGATTGCCAATTGAGGACGCCCAGTTTGGTGTGCTTAATGGTGTCCATACGGTTATTATTATTATTAAATTTATATTTGATGACATGCCTCGTGTGTTTGGTACATATTCTGTTCACAGAGTCACAGTTTATGTGTAAAAAATGAATTAAGTAAGCTACGATACTTTTATAGCTAATGCTTTGAGAGGAATGCAACGAACGGAGCCTAAATATTTTTCTCCTTTTATATGGAAAGTTAGTGTCAGTTTTGATTCAGTTGACTTATTCATTTATGAAGACAGTTGATCATTTACTGGTTTGAAGGGGAATTAATTATCTTAATGAACTACCTACCTAATGTTGGTGCTAGTACTATTTACAGACTATGGTTGTGATAAAATGATACAATTGATTTATAGCTTTAAAAGGGACTGCAGTTATATTCTGAAATTTTTGCTTCACAGATTCAAGGAGGTGGAAACACTGGGAATGCTTTAACATGTGCAGCTCGTCTGGGTTTAAAACCAAGGCTGATTTCGAAGGTCTGTCAATCAACCTGCAAATATAGCTAGTCATATATTCCAGTTCTTAATCTATTGTGCTTTTGGCATGATCATTGTTTATTAAACTCCTTTTAGTTTACATTCAAAATGATGTAATTTGACCGCAATAATATTCTCACTGTAATATTGTAAATTAGTCTTTAAATTACATAAATTATTGTAAATTAGTCTTTAAATTACATAAATTATTGTAAAATATTAAATAAAGTCTTACATTTTTGCTATAAATACATTACTTCAGTTGAACGAGGAACTTGTTGCTGCTCAAATAATGTTGTAAACTTGTAATCCTTACTGGCAAGTTTGATAACAATTTTATACAAGAAGACATAAAAGGTTGTCATTATACTTACTGGTCATGACCCATGCACAACTGATGGTATTTGCTTGGAAAATATGTGCTCCAAGTTGACACGGCATGAAGTTACCAAAACATAAAAAAATGTTGACATGGTGTAACAGATTTTCTGCTTTGTAGTTTGGCATCTTCTGTTTTAAAAAAAGTAACATTCATGGAAAAGCATCAAAAAAAGGGGCGAACCATGGACCTGCTAAGCATATTGCTTACAAGACCAAAAAAGATCAAGAAGAAAAAAGCGTATCACATAAACGAAGGAAAAAAAAAAAAAAAAAATCGCAATATCGCTACCTTTTACTCATTTTGGAGAACAAATGCCTCAACAGACTGCTTGCTCATCTCATTCAATAAATGTATAACATCCAAACATGCTCCCTTCCAATTCCAAGGCACATTGCTGCTGACATAGTGCTGCATAAGCCAGGTCATTGAATTGGTGGCAAATGCTCTCCTCAACCTCTCTACACATACATTGTTGATTGGTGATTTTTGAGTCATAAACCATGCTGAAATGGAATCTAGTTGGTTAAAAGGTCACACTTAGTCAGCCAATCACATAAGAATCAAGCTTCACTCTGTTACATACTTAAGGTATATCCATGCATACATGTGTAAATCAATTAGAAAAAGCCTTTTAAATAGAAGTTTTGTATTGAACCTCAAAAAACAATTTTTGGAAAAATAATATCGCTAAGGGTCTCTTTTGCCAAGCGATCGATCCTTGTTCATGCCTGTTGACACAATTTTCCAGAGACCAGCAATCACTAAGTGACCAACCAGCAATCCATCGCAGATTCAAGCATTTTGGTGAAGTTTTTCCAGAAAGAAGTATCAGCATGCGATAGCCAACACAAAAACTCCCAAAACTTTTCCTAATTGGTTTGGAACCCTAAAGTTCTATAATCACCTTATAATCTGTTTTAAGGGTATCCCAGCCATTGTTTTAAACAAACATTTTCTCTCTAAGCTCTTGGAAAATAATGGAATCAACATCTGATTTATGTGAAAATTTTCTAATTTACTATTTTTAAAAACTATTAAATCATTGCATATCATTGCATTGTTTTATCACCCAAGGTCGATTGGGAAATTGGAACTGTTTGAGAACGGAGATCAAGGCATGGAGTTTTGTGGTGTCTAGTGGATCAAGAAGACTGTCTGGCTCAAGCTATGCTTGTGGAGCTTGTTCAAGATATCGGAGATAGGTGACCCTAGGTGATTGGTTGTAAGTCCTTCGTTTGTGTCTTGTGCTCTTGATTCAAACAGTGGATATTTATTGGGTGTTGGGACCGTGGTTTTTTCTTCTTGGAGATTTTTCCAATTGAGTTTTCCACGTAAATTGTTGTGTTATTGCATTAATTATTTGTGTTAGTTCCCAACAAATTAAAATTGGGAATCAGGTTAAATAGTCATAATTTTGTGAAGTTGGCCTATTTCAGCTGCGTCTAGGCACAATAAATTCGGACTCCAATATTTCATATTCAAAGTGTTTTTAAGAATTGCTGCTGAAAGAAGGTTAACTTCACAGGAGCCTTTGTGTGCCAAATGCCCTTCAATTGGAGACTTGAACCTTATACTAGAAACCCTTTTTGTTGAGTACTCCAACATATAAAATGATTTGCCATTTTTTCCTAGTGGTTGCATTATGCAGCATCTCCATAAAAGTGTCCATTGAATCTAATTCCCAATCCTTGAAATGTCTCAAGAACAAAGGGAACCATACAACATAACCAGTACATAAGTATCTGATATTACTTTGTAAATTCATTATGTCTTCGCTGGGAAATTATATTGACAAATTCATAATATTTTTGTTCCTTCCCCTTTAACGCAGCAAGTCTTGCTTTCCATAGTTACTTAATGTAACTTATTTTTCGACAATTAATATTTTTGAAATAGATATCAGGCTTCTTAAAGGCTTTAATGTGCAAATGGATTAATTACTAGGTCGCGGATGATGCTCGAGGGAGAGGAATACTGGAGGAACTAGAAGCTGATGGCATAGATACTTCGTTTCTTGTGGTCAGCTGGAAATCATATATGCTTTTTGTAAATTTTATGAAGCATTTATCCATGTAATTGTCTTATTTCAGTTTGTTGTAAATGAACATTAAGCCATGTTTATCTATATTGTAGTGAGGAATTGTCATTCAGGATCTGCTGCAAGATGGTTTATATGTGTTGGGAAAAATTTAAAATTTTATTTTGATTCCCAATTCCCATGATCATGTTTGTTACTTACACAACATAAATACAACAAGTCATAAGTTGTACTTTGATAATTTCCTTAAACAAAAATTCCAATTCTGCCCTTGATCTTTTTGAATTCACTCCAATCCAAGCAAGCAAGTGGTTCAAGTGTACCTTTAAAAGTATCTACATGGAGCAATTACCAAGCACAAAGGCACTCTTACACACTCACTAATATAGTGAGAGTAAGAGGAGAAAAGATTTGCTAGAGTGCTAACTCTTATGAGAGCCCCCTATTTATTGACCAAGACTACCTTGCCATTATGAAGCACCAACACTTCAAAACAAGTGCCGTATCTGTGTCAGACACACGGACACTTCGGGGACACGTATGGGACATACCACATGGCGTGTCTCCTTATTTAATTAATTTATTTTCAAGGGACACACTGGGGAGACACTAGGGACATGCCAAGTTGTCTTTTCTCCCATTATAATGTTTATTATTATTATTATTATTGTTTTTTAAGATTTAAATACTTAATAGATCATCTATACAAAAAGATACAAACTACGTATTAATTTAAAAGTGCTTTTTTAAAAAAAAAAGAAAAAAGAATTAGAGTTACTTTTTGTTAAAATTGATTGTTTGTGAATGTAATATTAATTTAGATAGCAAAAAAATATGTATATCAAAACATATTTTATTACCGTGTCCCCGCTGTGTCCATGTCTCAATTTTTTTGAAATCGCCGTGTCCTTTGTCTGCATTTGTGTCCTGTGTCTGTGCTTCTTATCGTTGCCTCATAAGGTTTGGTCTACTTTGTGTTACAAAGAATAGATTTCATCACAATTAACTCTTAATTGCAATAATCCTCTTGATTAACTCTTGCAATACCTTCTCACCAAAGTATAGAATGTTTTGAATGAGAATATCATATCAAATCTCTTGTGACTAGTGTGTTCTATTATTTCCTCATGGTGATGTGGTTTAATTTTTATTTTGTAACCTCATTTTATGGCTTAGCACTACCACTTGATCTTGCATTATTTTCGTCTTTGTGACTCTTCTGGCTCAATTTATCTTGGTTCCAGGTCTCTAAGGAGGGCAATTCACCATTTACCTATGTCATTGTTGACAAGCAGACGTGAGGCTCTTTCCCCTTATTTTTGTTAATAGCAATTGGACATCAATATGATAGAATAAATATTTTTGTTCATTATTAAAGTCGTGGTCTTGTGCAAATTTTATGATTTACACAGCGCATTTTCTTTTGATTATCCATTCTGTATACTTATTGTTTTTGCAGTGCAGTGGTCTGCATGATCTTATTTGCAATGATGTGCAATGTATGTAATAATCTAAACTACTTATGTTTGCGGTTTTCATTCAAAGTGCGACTTTTTTCTTTTGGAAAATTTGAAAACAGTGTTTGACAGTATAGTCTCTGTTTGTCCAGTAGAAAATCACATAATTTTAAAAACTTAGACTGGACCTTTCTGAGTAACTGTTTTTGATTGAGACTTGTTGGAGAAGTTATTTCATGCTCGTGGGGGCAATGCCTGGAAAGCCCCAAGAGCATACAATAAATTTTCGACTTATTGAGATCCATTAAGGAAATTCGATGTGCAAAAATCAACCTAATTGCACTAATGTGCTCAGATTTTTTCGGTTTGCACTTTTGACGTCTCCATTAATGACTGTAGACGCGAATTTTGAAACGTGAAATGTTTCAACACATTTTGAAATTCATGTTACAAACATCCACTGCTTTGTTGTTAGTGTTGTTTATTTGATAGTAGGTTCTTATATCTAATATGGATTGCAGATCGTTAATTACACACTTTAAACAAATGAAACCTTTGAGCAATGAAGAACATTAAATTTAACAAAGGAGAATTTAAACAAAACAATTACTTTATTGAGATTTTGGGAATTTAGAATCCTGGGATACATGAAAAGGTTCTGAAAAGCAGTTGCGTTCACCGTAACGGTGGCGGTGGCGCAGTTGCGGTGGCGCGGTTGCGGTTGCGGGGTGTAAAAGCCGTAGCGTAACGGTTGCGGTAACCGGAACCGTGATTTTTTTTATTTTTCGCACAATTTGAAAAAAACTTACTGATACGCACATTTTTTTTTCATGATCATATTTATTGGGTTTTAAAATAAATATTGATCAATTTTTATAAATTTTTAAGTTTGATCCAATATATTTCATATTTTTAAATAACTATAAATTGAGTTTTTTACATTTTATTTTAATAATTAATAACATTATATTATACAAAAAATCAATCACTAGCTATTATATATAAGATAAACAATGACAAAAGTAAGAGAATAAATAAAAGCCTATATATATATATATATATTAATCAAGCCAAATAGATAATGACCACACTTATTATTATTATTATTATTATTATTATTATTATTATTATTATTTTCAAACAATATATAGATAGACACACACAAACAAACAAAATGGTTGAGTGATAGCAGCTGAGTAGAATAGCATAGGTCTTACAATTTCAACAAATCAATAACATGTTCTTCATCTTCCCTATTCTCTCTCTCTATTTCTTGTTCCTCCATCTTTCCTCTTCTCTCTCTATCTCTCTTTCCCATTTTTCAACTTTTTTTTTTTTTTTGTGTTTTTTCGAACGAAGCAATTCGGAACCGTTACGTAACGGTGCGTAACAGGCCGTAACGGCACCGTTGTGACCGCTATATCAGCCGCTACGGCCGATATATCTGTGAATCTCCATCACACTGCAAAAGCAGCCGTAACGGGTGGCGGTAACTACCACAACCGTTACGTAACGGCGTTACGTAACGGTTGCGGCCACTTTTTAAAACCTTGCATGAAGTACAACTGTTGGGTTTGAAACCCTTTACATTGCCATTGTATTGTGTGCTAGTGCGTTGAACGTTTAGTTTTGAATTTTGTTTCTCTTTACAACAGCTTTTGAATTATCTCGGTCTCTTTTCTCTCACCTTTTTTTCTTGCTTGTAGTTTTTTCCGTCTTTGATTTTCTCACTTTTGTTTTCATCTCCTTTTGTGTGATGGTCCTCATATTTATAGAGGGCCATCTATGAGATAAGAGAATCTTATCTCCATTTTGAATTTCAAATTGTATAATGACGTTGTTTGAATTAAAATGCAATGTTATCATAACAAATTTGGTTGATAGTGTTGATCTCCCAGACTTTATCCCTTGTAGTTTTCTTATTGTAGGCTCTACTTGTGTCATCCTTTGATCAAACATATTGTCCTTCGAGTCTTGTAGGCTCCACGTGTCATTTGAAGATCTTGAGTAACATCGTTTAACTATGACGTTTGGTACGTTATCATGTACTTCAACAAATCATATAGATACTGTAGAAATTTAATGTATAAAGAGAAAAAGAGAATTGTATTATTGATTGATGTTTGTAATTGTTGAATTATTGAATGCTACAATGATTCCTATATATAGAAGAGTAGGTGGGGTTAAAAAACATCAAATTTTAGAGTTTCACCATCCCATTGAATCTAGAACCTTATCATAAATTTGGTTGAAATTTATAGTAGTATGTCTATGACAATATTTAGCTGCTCTCTTAGCTACGTTTTGGTAGCATGACAATTTCTTTTTTCTTTTTCCTCTGGCACTAAACCAGCAGGTAGTGGGGAAACTGGATGAAAGTTATGGTTTATTGGCCGCACCTTTTCAGCATTTTTCGAGTTGTTTTTAACTCTCTACCCTTCAGTATACAACTCTTACAAGAATATGTTTGGTAGTAATTCTCAAAATCTAACAAGGCTGGTTTACAAGTTGCATATCTGGGAGAATAAAACCTTAAATGGTACTTTTCAGGAAAACTCGCACTTGTATTCATACTCCGGGATTCCCTCCCATGATACCTGATGACCTTTCCAAGTCAAGTTTGTTATCTGCTTTGGATGGAGTGAGACTCATCTATTTAGATGGAAGATTGCATGAAACAGCTTTAGTTGTTGCACGGGAGGTAATTATCATATATTATTCCTCTTTTGCTAGTTTGGGTAAATGTAAATTTCTTCTTTAAATTGGTTCTGGTTGACATAGTAAGCAAAGCTTGCCAATCCATTTTCACTGTGCTAACACATCATAGTTTTTAAAACTAAATCAATTGAAAAGCCCAGCCCACACTTCTTCTTAAAATCCAGGTATTAAGGAGAGGGAGAGGGAAACCGAAACCTTATAATAACTAACACAGATGGGGCAACTCCAGGCGATGTGGGACACATTTCAACAAAATCAACATGTTGTATGTGGTTGAATTGTTTGCAATGATAAAAGCTAATCTGGGATGCATACTCATAGTGCTTCACTAATTGTTATTTGATGGTGCTGATTTAATGCCTTCAGTTTTGTGGAATTTGGATGACACTAAACTCATCAAAGTGAGAAATTAATGCCAACATGCAATAACTTTGATTCCTATGACCTACAATCTCATTCTTTAATTTATGTAAACATGATTTTGGCTCCCTACAATTGTTTGTATTTTCACAAAGAATACATTTGTTGGTGAATAATGGTATCATTGTCCTTTGTTTAAATTGTGTTTTCATCCCTGAAGATATTAAGGCTGGAGACAATGGATAAATATTTGGATGGTTTTCAAATTTGTATCAAGACTTTTATCAAAAACTGGCCTAGTGAGAGAGAGTGATGTAGGACGAGTAAGGATTACTTTCCCACAAGTAGTGAGCCTGGGTTAAGTATACTGGCAGCAACAACAGTAGACTTGTAGGGTTGGATTTGATTGGATTTTGTGGCTGCAAAAATATTTAAAATATAGGAGTTTAAGGGTTTGTAAAAGGGTAGAATTTTGAGAATGAAAACATGTGTGTTTAGGGGCTGTTGGGTGGCTGTTCTAAGCACTCTGAGCAGTGACGTGAACGATAACCTTGCTAGATAGAAGAAGAAGAAGAAGAAGAAGGGAGAGAGAGAGAGAGAGAGGTGCTTCACCCTCACAAGGGATAGGCCAACCACACAAACACAATCTCAAATTTTCATAAAATTAACTCTTCTCTTGAATCATTGAGATTACACATATATTTATAGGCTAAAGACTCTCCTAATTCTATAAGGACTATAACTCAAATTTAAAAATTAAAAATATTTAGCAACTACTAATATTCTAGACCAACTATGACTTTCAATTTTACTTCAATCATAGTAAAAAAATTTAATGATTTCTAATTCTACTTAAATATCAAAATAGGAAACTTGGACTTTTGACCACTAAGATTATTTTAGACATAATAAAACCTATATATAATGACTCATTTAATAACTTGACCCAAAATAAAACCCATGGGTGACCCCTACAACCCATCTCCAATAATTATTGGAATTATCATTATACTCTTAATTACTAAAACCTATTATAATGACATGAAGACTCAAAATTATTTCAAATCTTTAACTCTTGATGTCCTAAATGTGCTTCATGTGAAATTCTAAATTTGCTCATTTTCTTCTTTCCATGATCTTCATTGGAGAGAGGTTGTGAAAATAAATTTGGAAATCTGACTGCTCTAATCTTATATATATATACATATGTAAATAATTTGTTGAACTTATAATGTTGGCAAACGTTTTAGAATTATAAAAATTAAGTGAACATAATAGAACAACAAAGAAAATGCCATTGGAAATTGGAATTATGTATTAGCTAAGATTCTGAGTAAAAAATATTTGCTCGAACTGACATGCTTTTGTTGTGCGAAGGTTGCTAAGGAGTGATGATTGCCTGGAGTTAAACCCATTGAGGCTGACGAGGATATTAACTTGATTAGAGTGAGAAATGACAGAGAAAGTCATGCCTTGATTACAGTCTAGGGTTGACTTGATTTGAAGCTCACAGTGACTTTCGCTCAGCCGATGATATGTCTTAGAAAGAAAGTCCATTGCAATACTTGGTACTTACACAAAAATACTTATGTTTATGTGCATGCTTTGTGTGCGTATCCACCGTTTTTCCTCATTGTGTGTTATATTTTCTTTTTTGATAGTAAACAAGAATTTTTGAAGGAAGGGGTGACTATAGAAGAAAGGCTAGCTTTTTTTGTTTTATTTTATAATTTTTGTAAGTAAAAGGGGAAGGAGAATGTATCCTTCATGTTCATGGGGATACAAAGAAAGAAAAGAAGAAAATAGATAGAGAAACATCTATCTAGCTAGTAATATATTTGGAATACAACAAATTCCCCAAATAAAGTAGCGTAAGGGAGAAGTTCCCTTTTAACCCCAAAGAGTTAGCCTGGTGGTCAAGGCCTGGGGTCCATGGTCTCAGGTTTGAAACCTCCTAAGTGCAAACAATTTTTTGGGGCTAGTCCAAAAAAATTACTGTAAGGTTATACTAAGGATCAACCTTAAGTCCTATCTTTTTGCTTTAGTTATGGATGAGTTGATTAGGAATATTCAGGATGATGTATCATGGTTTATACTTTTTGCAGATGATATCTTGTTAGTTGATGAGACTAGAGTAGGAGTTAACACTAAGTTGGAGACATGGAGAGAAGCACTGGAATCTAAAGGATTTAGGATAAGCAGAATTAAGACAGAGTACATGGAGTGTAATTTTAGTAACAGTAACAATGAAAGTAGAGAAGAAGTGAAGATTGAGTACCAAGCACTATCTAAGAGTGAACATTCTCGTTATTTAGGATTGATTATCATAACAATTGGGGAGATTGGAGCGAATGTGGTCCATAGAATTAATATGGGGTGGCTTAAGTGGAGGAGTGCGTTTGAGGTATTGTGCGATAAACGAGTACCCACTAGATTAAAGAGGAAGTTCTATAGAATGGATATTAGACTAGCGATGTTGTATGGAACAGAATGTTGAGCAACTAAGAAACAACATGTAGATAAGTTGAGTGTTACTGAGAAAATGATGTTTAGATGTGTGGCAAGACTAGAAAAGACAGAGTTAGGAATGAGTATATTTGAGAATGGGTAGAAGTAGTACCGATAGAAGATTAAGTTGAGGGAGAATAGATTGAGATGGTTTGAACATAAACAACAGAGACCAACAGAGGTAGTAGTGAAGAGATGCTATACAGTGACGGTAGATGGAAGTGTTAAGGAAAGGGACAGGCCTAGATTGACGTAGACTAATATAGTAAATAGAGATATAAATCTCCTTAATTTCACTAACGATATAGCCTTGGGTAGAGTCGAATGGAGAAGAAGGATTCATGTAGCCGACCCCATTTGATAGGACTTAAGGCTTGGTTTGGTTAGTCCATACAGGGCTTTGCCCCGGCTTTAATTGGGTCCCTTGCTAGTGTACGGTGCAATTAGTCTCCCAGATTAGTTGATCCATTGGGCTGGATACCGAGTCATAAGGGAAAAAAAAAAAAAAAAAGAAGAAAAGAAAGAGGGAGAAGTTCCCTCCAAACTGCTGGCTAATCCTGGTCCCCCTTTCTCATAGTTTCTCATAGTTGCAGTTTATTCTCATTTGATTTTTGTTCCTTCCTTATATCATTATGGATAAAACTAGTATTGACAAAAAAAGAAAAAGAAAAAGAAAAAAAAAAGAAGGAACTAATCGGCATCTCTTTACTTGTAAGAAAAAAACGAACAACATCTCTTCAGTTCTTCCTGTACAGGCAAATTGCAGGAGTATACCTATCTTAATTGATGCAGAAAGAAAAAGGGAAGGGTTGGATGATCTCCTTAAATTTTCAGATTATGTCGTCTGCTCAGCAAAATTTCCACAGGCAAGCCAACCAATCTTATAAGCTACTCTTCATAGTTTTGCTTTCCTATTACCACATGATTTTGTACGAATAATATATTGCAAGAATCTGCCTTCTTTATTTCAATATTGCATTCTATTTTGCAAAGATTAAGCACTTGAATTTTTCTTCACCGTCACAAGAGTTTTATGAAGTATAATTAGAGTAACTTGTTAGAGTACATAATATATTAGTAGATAGTGAGCCTCCCTTTTGGTGCCTTTAGGTGCTAGTGCTTCACTTTCCATCATGAGCCATCATTGTCCATTGTCTGTAAGGATTGTATTTTCTCTTATATAAGGAGCCCCTCACCATTTGTAAGAAACACACAACATTCAATACATCAATATATACATAATTTATTCTCTCCCTTTCTCTATCAATTTATCTTACATGGTATCAGAGCTAGGTTAACAACCTAGTCATTCTGCTTCACCGGCGGGCGGTAGTCTCGCCTTGGCCGCCCGCCGGACCTCTACACATACCCTGACTCCGCTGCTACTAAACCCCTCCTCCCGATAGGGACAGAGGGATCAAGCTTCTTTCTTCTTCCTCAAAACTGGCCCAGCTTTATTCTTCTTCAATCGGAGCCCGCGGCTCCCAAACCCAAAGGCCACCTTGCCTAGTTTGTTTTGTGACTACTGAACGACTCCTGCACATTGGCTGTGACTACTCCAAGTGTTGCCATTACGGAGCTAACTCTTTCTCTCCAAGACAAACCCAGATTTCAACATATTTCAACATTTTCAGAGAGGCTCTGTTTCACCATCGGTGCTGTACTTCGGCTTAGCGATGCAACTCCTCAGAGATCTAGGCACATCGGAGCTCGATTTCGCCGACCAACGCCGACGCCGACTCGTCTACGACACCACTACTGCTGCTACGGTTGGCCAGCTCCGACAACAACTCTGCTGCGGTATCACGGTTGTTGCTTGCTTGCGAGCTCGGTTTGAACCTGCCCTGCGCGCAACCACCAGCTCGCACGACCTGCGTGCCTTGTGTCCGACATCTGCGACCTCACTGTTGCTACCAGCCGCAACCAACCAGTGCTGGCCACGCCGTCCACTCAACGTGGTGTTGGCCTGCGCACACACCAGATACACGGCAGACCCAACAGACCATTCATACACACGGTTTTAGAGAGGGAGACCCAGCACACCCAACGACACACCATCTTTTTCTCCACTCCATGGAAGACATACAGAGGGGCTGAAATCAACATGAACACCGAACACACCATGGAGACACACACGGCATTAGAGCCACGGTCAGACTCTACTCCGAAGCTCTCTCTCTCTCTCTTTGGGGTGTTCTGAGATCACGTGATTTTAGATGCAATGAAGGTGGCCTTTTTGATTATGTGGTCTCCCCGCTGTCACCTCGTGCTTATTCCCATCATACCATTATACTTTATTATAATATGTAATATTAACTCACAGATTCACACACTATCACTTATTTTTTTTTTTAAATCGTTATTTTATTTTTTCTCTTTTCTTTTTAAACATTACACCAACCTCATTTTATTCATGTCGGGGCTCCCCCCGATCACCATTTTACACAAAAAAAAAAAAAACCAACAAAACCAAACCAACACACATCGGAACAGTGGGATTTTTTTCCTTCTCTACTCTGCCGCCGGTCTTTTCTTCTTGCCTCCGTCCTGGGTGGCCCTTGCCGTTGTTGCCTCTGTGTTTCCCACTCCACTTGGCACGATCACTACTCCCTGTTCCTCCACTGCAGCATATGGTGGCCCTCCAAATCGGAACATCACGGTGGCCTTTCGCTTCAGCTCCTTCTTTTCTGTCTTTAGCACACTTATCTCTGCTCGCGCATCCTTATACATGCGTTGGAGCAGAGCTAGCTGGGAGTTTAACTGTTGCACCTCATTTGTCCTGCTCTGCAGCCGGTGCGACAAGTTTGTGACCGCAGTCATGGTTTCCACACATGACTTCAGAGTATACTGATTGGCCTCAATATCAGTTTGCACCGCCATTTTTTGCTCCACCGACCGCATCGGAAAGTTCAACGGAGCAAAACCAGAGGTGTTTGGTTGAGGTTCACTGGCCACCGCACCAGTTCTCTCTCTTGTTGACTCATTCAGTTCTGGAAAGAGCGTGAGCAGACCACGGGAAGAAGAGGAAGAGGAGGCCATTGTCTGGGCAACAGAGTTTTTCAGACTCTCTCTCTCAGCACAACAAAGTTTTTTTTCAGAGGTTTTTTCGCAACTTTTCTCTGCCTCAGCCTCACCTCCGTCTTGGTTAAATAGACGAGGCAGCCACGCGCATCACGCGCCTCTTGACGCCGACAACCTGGCACGTCTTTTCATGGCACGCCTTTTGATGACTCGGGCACGCCTTTTCATGGCACGCCTTTTGATCACCGCCTAAAAGAGGGTCCAATCCACTCACCAATCTAGAAGCATGCAAAAATGGGCCCCATTCTGAAGATAATTCCTGAGCTACAGCAGGTGAGCATGGACGTGGTCGTGGAGCCTAGCAAAACCAGAGGCGCTTGGTTGAGGTTCACTGGCCACCGCACCAGTTATCTCTCTTGTTGACTCGTTGAGGTCGGGAAAGAGAGTGAGCAGACCACGGGACGAAGAGGCCATATTCTGGGTAGCTGGACGGGAAGAAGAGGCCATGTTATGGGTTGCTGAGTGTTTCAGAGAAGGGTTGGTTACAGAATGTTTACAGAGTGTTTCAGAATGCCAATGTTCAGAGGTTTCAGACTGGTTTGCACAGCCTCCGCCTCAACCTTGGTTTAAATAGCCAGGGCCGATACGCGCATCGCGCGCCACTTGACGCCAGACGACAAAACGGACGCGCAAGCCAAGGTAGTCACGCGCCTCGCCATCATGTCCGGCACACCTTTTTATGGATTGGGCACGCCTTTTGATGGCACACCTTTTGAAAGATTGGGCACACCTTTTGAGGGTGCGACTTTTTACAACGGTTCGACATGACCACATAAAACTGTCCCGACTTTGATTCCAGTTAGCTTTTCCACCGGTCCGACATGACCCCATAAACTGTCCCGACATTTGATTCCGGTTAGCTTTTCCAACGGTCCGACATGACCCCATAAACTGTCCCGACATTTGATTCCGGTTAGCTTTTCCAACGGTCCGGCATGACCCCGTAAACTGTCCCGACATTGATTACGGTCAGCTTCTACATCGGTCCGGCATGACCCCGTAAACTGTCCTGCTACCATGGTCCGACACGACCATACCGTGTCTTCACTAACGGTCTGACACGACCATAAAGTGTCTACTATCCTCTTTTATTTATGTATTAGTTTATTTTCACATTTTGTTCCTTTCCAAACTCAAGTCGGTTTGTACCTATCCTCCTTGAGTTTGAGGGGGGCTGTTAGAGTATATAATATATTAGTAGATAGTGAGTCTCCCTTTCGGTGCCTTTAGGTGCTAGTACTTCACTTTCCATCATGAGCCATCATTGTCCATTGTCTGTAAGGATTGTATTTTCTCTTATATAAGGAGCCCCTCACCATTTGTAAGAAATACACAACATTCAATACATCAATATATACATAATTTATTCTCTCCCTTTCTCTATCAATATATCTTACATAACTTGTATGTTAAAGTATCTTAACTGAAAATTAAGGTCTATGCACTCTTTCTAGAGTTTAGTTTATTGGTACCAGGATGAAAATATGCCAAATTATGGTCCATCTGTTCCACTATCTTTGGCTAATATCTTCAAATAGTGCGCTATTAATGTCACCAAAGAAGACGAGCCTTCATGAAATTGTTGGGTTGACCACTATAGTGATAAGTAACATTTCCCAAATCTTTATACCTCATCTTTTCTTCTCTTTTCAACAAAATTCCTGCAATTTGTCACTTTAAATGTTTATATTTGCTGAAATCTTCATTTGTAAATTTTACAGAACCTGTTGCAGACAAAAGAACTCTGCCGGGGTTGTTAACAACTCCGCCGGTCCCAAGCCCGGGTTAAGGAGGAGGGTTGTGTGTTAGGTAGCCGACAGCCAACACGTAAAAAAGCCGCTCGGATCCCTTATGAAAATGAATCCTACTTTGAATCGTTTAAATGCTAGGTCGTTCCCCTCAAGTGACGCGTTGCGCTTGCCTCCGGGTGTTTCGAAAAGTGAGCAAGGGGCGCCGCATCGACGCCTGGGTGCGGTGAAAAATGGGCAAAGGTTTCCGCATTTTTCTGGACGAGCGCAGGTAAAGAAGCTAGTCCAAGACTATAGATTTAGGATAGCCACTTGGAACATAGGAACCTTAACTGGTAGGACGATGAAATTGGTAGATGTTATGATTAGGAGGAGAGTTAGTATAGCTTGCATACAAGAAACTAAGTGGACGGGAGAGAAAGCTAGGGAAATTGAGGATACTGGTTTTAAACTTTATTATAGTGGTAAGGATAGATGCAGGAATGGGGTAGGAATCATAATTGCCAATGGTCTTGTGGAAAGTGTGGTGGCGGTCACTAGGAAAGGAGATAGGGTTATGCTAGTTAAACTAGTTATTGGAGGGAATATAGTGAACATTATTAGCGCTTACGCCCCTCAAGTAGCGTTAGATGATCAGACTTGAGGGATTTTTGGGAGCAAATGGATGAGATCTTACAGGAGATACCCGTAGAAGAGAACTTGGTTATGGGTGGAGATTTTAATTGCCATGTGGGCATAGATAAAGTAGGTTATGAAAGGGTGCATGGTGGATACGGTTTTGGTGACAGAAATGAGGCTGGAAAGAGAATCTTAGATTTTGCGTTGGCTTCTGACCTGGTGGTGGCCAAAACTATGTATAAGAAAAGGGAGGAGCATTTGATAACCTTTAAGAGTGGATTAGTTAAGAGCCAAATAGATTATTTCTTAGTGAGAAAAGTGGACTGCCTAAAATGCGATGATTGTAAGGTGATTCCTGGAGAGAGTCTGGTCTCTCAACATAGGATTTTGGTACTAGATTTATGTTTTAGAGGGCAATACCAAGCTAGGAAGGATGGTGGGCGTCGTAGGACGAGATGGTGGGACTTAAAAGGGGATAAACTAGAAATATTTAAGAATCGAATGGATAAGGAAGGTACTTGGGACTTAGAAGGTGATGCTAACACTATCTGGAATTCGATGGCCAATTGTATGAGGAGAAGCTCAAGGGAAGTGCTTGGAGAGTCGAAAGGAACGGGACCCAGCTATAGGGAAACTTGGTGGTGGAGGGAAGAGGTCCAAGCGGTAGTTAAGGCAAAAAAAGAGTGCTTTAAAAAGTGGCAGAAGGATAGAACTGAGGAAAACCTTAAGAGCTATAGATTGGCTAATAAGGAGGTCAAGAAAGTAGTGAGAGAGACTAAGTTGAAAGTTTATGATGACCTACACACTAGACTAGATAGTAAGGAGGGAGAGAAGAGAGTATATAAACTTGCTAAGATATAGGAGAGGAAAACAAGAGATTTTAATCAAGTAAATTGCATCAAGAGTGAGGATTCTAAGGTATTGGTGAAGGATGATGAGATTAAGGAAAGATGGAAGAATTATTTTGAGAAACTGTTAAATGAGGAACATGGAGGTACGACAATAGGGGAAGAAATAATCAATAATACGATAAACCAAGACTATAGGTTCTATCGCATGATTAGGAACTTTGAAGTGGAGATTGCACTTAAGAAGATGAAATCAATTAAGGCTTTAGGACTTGATGATAGCCCTATTGAAGCTTGGAAGTGTTTGGGTAAAAAGGGAGTTGCTTGGTTGACTAGGTTGTTTAGCAAAATTTTGTTGACTAGGAACATTCCAGATGAGTGGAGGAAGAGTATTTTAGTGCCAAACTATAAGAATAAAGGTGATGTCCAGAATTGTAACAACTATAGAGGAATTAAGCTAATGTGTCATATAATGAAAGTGTGGGAGAGGGTGATGGAACGCCGATTGCGAGACATAACAGAGGTGTCAGAGAATCAATTTGGGTTTATATCTGGTAGGTCAACAATGGAAGCGATCTATCTTTTGAGGAGAGTAATAGAAAAGTATAAAGAAAAGAAAAGAGACATTCATATGGTGTTTATCGACCTTGAGAAAGCATATGACAGAGTGCCCCGAGATATAATATGGTGGGCGTTAGAGAAGAAAGGGGTGACAAAAGGCTACATTGACGTGATTAGGGACATGTATGAAGGGGTGGTGACCACTATTAGATCGCCAGCTGGAGAAACAAATGAATTTCCTATCACTGCAGGGTTACACCAAGGATCTACCTTAAGTCCTTATCTTTTTGCTTTAGTTATGGACGAGTTGACGATAAATATTCAGGATGACGTGCCATGGTGTATGCTTTTTGCAGACGATATTGTATTAGTGGATGAGACTAGAGAAGGAGTTAACACAAAGTTGGAGATTTGGAGAAAAGCTCTTGAATCTAAAGGGTTTCGAATAAGCAGAACTAAGACAGAGTACATGGAGTGTAAATTTAGTAACAGTAACAATGAAAGTAGAGGAGAAGTGAAGATTGAGAACCAAGAACTGCCTAAGAGTGAACATTTTCGTTATTTAGGGTCGATTATCACAACAGCGGGAGAGATTGATGCAGATGTGGCCCATAGGATTAAGGCGGGATGGTGTAAGTGGAGAAGTGCGTCTAGGGTATTGTGCGATAAACGAATACCCACTAGACTAAAAGGTAAGTTTTATAGAACGGTTATTAGACCAGTTATGTTGTATGGGACGGAGTGTTGGGCAACCAAGAAACAACATGTAGATAAGATGAGTGTGGCTGAGATGAGGATGCTAAGGTGGATGTGTGGTAAGACTAGACAAGACAAGACAAGATTATGAATGAGTGTATTTGGGAATGGGTAGGAGTAGCACCGATAGGAGATAAGTTGAGAGCGAATCGTTTGAGAAGGTTTGGCCATATTCAATGAAAACCAACAGCGGCAGTAGTGAAGAGATGCGATGCTGTAACGGTAGATGGAAGTGTTAGGGGACGGGGTAGGCCTAGATTAACGTTGACTAGCGTTATAAATAGAGATATGAATCTACTTAATTTGACTAATGAAATGGCCTTTGATAGGGCCGCGTGGAGAAGAAGGATTCATGTAGCCGACCCCATTTGATGGGACTTAAGGCTTGATTTGGTTTGGTTTGGTTTGTTGTAGGCAAAAGGATATTCCGGGAATTTGACATTATACAAACATTTACTTAAGACGTAAATTACTTTTCAAAATAAAATTAAAAAAAATCAACTTAAGACATAAATTATATGAATATGTTTGCAGCATATTCACCTTCTTTAAGTATATTAATTTCTGTCAAGAGTTTCGACCTGGTTTAGGTTATCCTTGAAATACTATGTGAAGGTGGCATTAAGTGTCTGTATTTGATTTATTGTGGTAAGGTGACATGAAATAAAATGACAAAAAGGAGTCGATGTGATTGTGGAGGATTCTGAAAAGAAATAACCAAGCATCATAATAAATAGAAAACATTCAGATAAAAGAGTGATGTCATTCAATCAATGACAGATTGCTAATATCTTAAGGTTGCAACTCGCAGTGAAATGAGATAAGCATGGAGCTTTTAGTATAATTTTTTATAAATCTTGTTTACAGTCATGTTCAGCCTGATGCAGACAATAAATAAAATTATGCATAATGATATTTGTTAATTGTTAGTGTACTGAACAGCGGGAAACCTCATGTTTGGAACTCCCCTCTTATTATACCGATATGTTATCCATCTGTCAGATTTTATATTGAAGTTGTTCATTTTGATTATTTTATTTAACTCCTAGTATGTATATGATTACCACATAATAAATTTACTTGCAGTTTCATGTTCATTTTGATTATTTTCTTGTCAAAACATCTTTTTATTATTATTTATTATTAATGCTGTCTATGAGGTAAAATTGGTCCTTATAAATCTCTACTCTACGTCATTTGTATAGCTATACTTTCTGCATAATTATAACTTTTTAGCTAATAAATTTACTTGCAGTTTCATGTTCATTTTGCTTGTCATTGCCTAGCAGGCATGGACTGAGGCGCCATCTGTTCCAAGTGCACTTGTGGCAATGCTCTTGAGGCTGCCAAATGTAAAGTTTGTGATTGTGACTTTAGGCGAAGATGGTTGCATAATGCTTCAGAGAAGCGTAACTGGTTTGTACACAAATTCCATATCTTTTAATTTCAAAAGTGAAAACCATCTGCATGCACAGAATTTGGAAGCATGGACCTGAACTAGATAAGCTTGGCCCATATAGTTGTTTTTGTATTCACAACTTCTAATATCACTCCACCACTGGCAGAGGGTGATCAGTCTGAAGAAATGGACATAGACAGTTTATTAGAATCACTGAAGCAGAGAAATGATAGTAACACAGTGATCCCAACATGCGTTTCATCGGTAATCCCTTTTCTGCCTAAGAGGTTAACCTGCTCTTTCATTTACATGTATATTTTCATACTATTTGTATTAAGAACATATACATACATGAATGCGTGTCAAAGTACTTTTTGAATTTTAGTACTTATATGGTTGAGTTAGCATACACACTGATAGTGAGTTGCCATTCTAGCACGTCATTAAGTTCATGAACAATTGGTGCTTGTTTCAATTAATAATTTGGGAGAAGATGCTCTGCTTGATGATAGCCTCTAGGGATGGGAAATTTACCCAATTGCCTGGATCCCCCCAATCATGCTGACCTTCCTGGGATGGCTTTGGGCAGGGTTAAATTGGAGTAGGGGAGATTTCAGTGGTGGGACATCAAAACCTAGTCAGAGTTGGAGCAGGTTTTGGTTGACCCATTTGCCAGACGGGGGCACTGTCCAATACCTGACCTGATCAATACATATGCCTACGCATACATTTAGCACAAATCATATGCAATTCAGGCTGAATTTTGGGATAGGGGACATTAATGGAGAGCACTACCTTGGAGGAAAACGAATTACATGCCTATGAGGAATTTGATGATTTCATGAAACACGAGCTTTCCTGTGTAATAGCCATTTGATGCAGCATGCACAGGAGGAGTCCTTAGTGATGGGGAAAGCTCTTTGCTGTCCAGAACTTTTTTTTGGGCGAATTAAAAAAAAAAAAGAGTTCTGGACAGAACTTCAGTTCACCTAATCATGGATTTGTTCCATTGAACCAATTATGGACTTTGAGTTCAAGTTAATTCAGTTAAAAGAGCCAACTTGAAGAGTGCTGGCAAGCAATTTTTTGCATTTTACAAACCAACCTTGGATAACCGAACATTATTGAATAATTTCGCAACCTGCTTTCTCCCTGTTTTACAAGTGGAGTATTTTACATATATAGTAAGGTTATGTTTGGAACAAATAGAGAGAAAAATTAAGATGATCTGTGTAATTACCTCAAGCATTTAACTGTGGTTGCCACAGTTTTGTTGGATGATGTTAAAGCAATGTTTGATTAGGATTTGATTATCTGCTTATATTTCTGATTAAATCCCCCAGGTAGTGACGAAATTGAGAGCTCACGGGATGGGGACAGTGAGTGGGAGGTTATTTGTTGGAACAGCTGAGAAAATACCATCATCAGAACTTGTCGATACAACAGGTGCTGGAGATGCTTTTATCGGAGCAGTTCTTTATGGTATGTGAAAAAATTGAGTCTATTGTCCATATTTTATTACTAATATCATTTTGTTCTTTGCGAATTTATTATTGAGCTTGCCAGACCATTGTTGTATGCTGGTGAAGGTAGTCTTATTTTCTATCAGAAATGGTAGAGCACATGATAAACTAGGGGAAAATTTCCTTTTTACCTCCAGTTCATCTTATGAAACTGTTGGCACCCTTTTTCTAAAACGTGTAAAGGCTTCCGACCCAAAGGATGTTAGTTCAGTCCAATATGTTTTGTTCCCGACTAAAACATGTGTCTCAGTAAAATATTCTCAGAAAATAAGAAACGAATTAACAATTCAGAATCTCAGATGAACAATCAAAGCTCAACCAACCCAAGTTGTTTAGTCTCAATGTTTTCAGAACAATTAACCTCTTCTGGACCCACTACGTCTGTTCACTTGATTCAAACAGCCAATCCAGCTTCTCAAAAAAACTCTATGAGCCACAGTTGATTTTTCAATATCTTGGCAAGCATGAGGGTATGGTGACATGCTTTGGTATCACAAATTAAGACAGCTTGGTTTGGCTTTTGTGGAAACTAATGATTGGACTCGCTTGAGAAGCAGAGGATTTTCAGTACGATATTGCAAATTAAGTAGTGAAGAGATGCGATGCTGTAACGGTAGATGGAAGTGTTAGGGGACGAGGTAGGCCTAGATTAACGTTGACTAGCGTTATAAATAGAGATATGAATCTACTTAATTTGACCAATGAAATGGCCTTTGATAGGGCCGCGTGGAGAAGAAGGATTCATGTAGCCGACCCCATTTGATGTGACTTAAGGCTTCGTTTGGTTTGGTTATTGCAAATACACTGCATCAGGTGGTGATCTTTTACCTGTCAGCTAGTATTTTGGTTGGCCTTTGTGCAGTGTCTCATGATATTATATTAGTTTCCACCATTATATGCATTATTTTAGAAATCACTCATCAAGAATTCAGGTCTGTTTAAACGACTTTTCCAAAAACATTTGGGTTACTTCTTTCGCTATATAGTTGGTACATTTTGGGAGCTAGGGCTGTTGATGATACTAATAGACATATATATATATATATATATAATTTTCTTTTTTTGTATTTCATCTGTAGCTATTTGTGCCAGCATGCAACCAGAAAAAATGCTGCTATTTGCCGCTCAAGTGGTTAGTAAACTTGTCTATTCAATTTTAGGTATTGATGTTTACTAAAGCTCCTTTTGTTTCGGCATAAAACATTTTCCTTATTTTCAAGAAAATGAGTTGTTTTAGGCAGACATTTTCTGGAGTTACTGGACATACCAATCTTACTAACACCACCACCTTGCCATCACCGTCACCTCCACCACTGCAGCTGCTCCACACCACACCAGCCTACCACCACCACCACCACCATTTTCGAGGAAGCTTATTCACAAGTGTGCGATTTTGATTGCAGGCAGCAGCTGGCTGTAGAGCTTTGGGAGCTCGAGCAGGTCTTCCGTATCTCACTGATCCACGCTTGGCCCCTTTTTTATGATTACTATACCAACTTTAGCTCTAATTTGGTGACTACTCCCTCCACATTGTTGAGCAACAAACATGGAATCTCTGCTCTTCCATTAGCAATGATGGTTTTATACACACCCAAAAAAAATTGTTAATGAATTTAGTCCGCCCAAAATGTATTTAGACTGTATATTAATTTTTCTGTACTTATGTCTGTGATTTTTTTTATATTTTATTTTATTTTATATTTTTAATAATATGCATATAGTAATAGCAGTCCCTGGCTGTTGCCTCTGGTTGCTGGGGCTGCTTGACAATTACATTATGTACACACGACCAAATTTATTAGGATCTGGCTTCTCCAAGCCTAGTTGGGTCATATCTTGTTGGGTTCATGGGTCCGCCAGAAATTTAAGTGATAGGAGCTGTTTATCTTTAATTTTTGAGGAAATTATAAATATTATATATATATATATATATATCAGAATTTGAAATAATAAAATAAATTGAGTTTTTAATTTTATCAATTTAAATTTAAATTTAAATTTTTTGATTTGTTTTCAATCTAAATCGTATACTTATTTTTGTCAAATAAAACAAACAATTAAAAGTATTTTAACCATTAAGTTCAATAGAAAAAATATATTTTAGACATTTTATGTGCACTTATATTGAATTTAATGGTTAAAATATTATTGTTTTTTATTGATTTTGTTATGCTTTGAGAATATGGTTAAAAATTACTTTTTGATTTTTTTTTGACTTTTTTGTGAGAGAGGAAAGTGGGTTAAAAGCTGAAAAATGGCTTTTAACCCACTTCCTAAATTTAACAAAAAATAGGCTAATAGTTTAAATTAAAAACAATTCAAGATAATAGAGTTTAAATCGATAGAATTAAAAATTTAAGATTTATTTTGTTATAAGGATTAAATTTTGAGTTTTTTTTTTTGTTATTTAATTTTTTCCTGCCTAGATTATTCAAGAAAATAAATCATGTTGATTTGATAATTATGGTCATATATATAACTTGGTCATATTTGTCTTAAAAAATAGATGGTTTATCGTAAAACTATACCTATCATTTTTGTTTTAATTTTTTAAAGACAAATTTGATTAAATTGTGGGTATTTATTGAATTGATTTTTTTTTTAAAAAAAATTGAAAATGGAAAGAGGCCTTGGATCATTCGAAGAACTTGGGGATCCCATTATTACAAGAAGAAAAATTGCGTTTTTTGTGATTTGACATAGAATACAGGTCTTGATTTGAATCATTATTGCTTCTTTTAATTGGAGTAGCCCACATTCATAATGTCTTTTAAGGTTTTTTTGAAAATTTATTATTTTAATTAATTTTTTAATTATTTATAAAAAAGACGTATAAAAAAAATTCAAAAAATTATTTAATTTTTTAACTATTTTAAATGATTCTCAAAATAGCCCTTAGTTTTATAATAAAAAGCACTTGGGGATCCCATTATTACAAGAACAAAAATTGCCTTTTTTGTGATTGGACATAGAATACAGGTCTTGATTGAATCATTATTGCTTCTTTTAATTGGAGTAGCCCACATTCATAATGTCCCTTAAGGTTTTTTTGAAAATTTATTATTTTAATTAATTTTTTAATTATTTATAAAAAAGACGTATAAAAAAAATTCAAAAAATTATTTAATTTTTTAACTATTTTAAATGATTCTCAAAATAGCCCTTAGTTTTATAATAAAAAAAATGAGGTTCTACCGTATGCTTTAATGGCATGTTTGATTGGAAGGATTAAAGCATGGGATTAGGATTATTAATCCGTGGGCCCAATCATCCTATGTTTGTTTTGACATTTTAGTTTAGGACTATTAATCCAATGGATAATTAATCCAACAAATTTATAGGATTATTAGTAATGGGGTAGGGGTGGGATAGTTAATACCACACTAATTTGATAGGATTATTAATACCTCACTATTAGTATTGTGAATCAAACATGACCTAAGAGTAGTGTTTTTTTTATTATGATTTAATTATTTTTCATAAATATTAATTAAATTATTGAAATAATTAGTGAAATGTCTATTTTTATGAGGTTACAAGTTATTTAGTCTAAAGTCTAATTTTTTTTAGTGATAAGAACATCGTTGAAAAATTACCAAAAATGTTACCAGCAATGGCAGCTGGTGGTAGTGAGGTGAACAAATAAGTAATACAAGTACAAATATGTTACATTTAAATAGATAGTTAAACAGGTGAGTAACACATGTACAAATAGGTCATATTTGAACAAATAAATAGATATTTAAATAGATAGTTAAACATATAGATAATACGTCTGCAAATAAATAACATTTGAATAAAAAGACAAACAGATGTCCTTTTGGTCAAAAAATATTTAAACTTAGGCCTATTAACCCAACAATTTCACTAAAAAAAAACCAAAAGAACACAGTTCAAAAACATATATGCATACCAAGTAAACATTATCCACACAAAGCTACTAAGATTAAAAATTAAAAAAATCAATCAAATTTTAAAAATAAGCAACTCAATGTGCTTACATGTTTTCCGTTGTGTTTTTTTTTTTTTTTTTGTTTGCCCTTCCCAATTTCAACAAAGCCACGTGCTTCAGCACTACCTACCAAGACCCTTCAGCACCCACAGTTGGATTCTGAAATGCAGAAAAATTCCAGAAAGTCTTCAACGCGTAGGGCTGAGAAATTGTCACACCCTCTTCCGTGATTTTTGCTATCTGCAATTTCCAGGTATCAGATTATGTTAGATAGAATGTTCAAAAATTGCCACATCTTACAGCTCCTTTTCCCATTTTTAACAAGTTGAGCACTACAACACAATTGATATGAATAAGCCAACTAATAACTTTTCACCCCATAATGTTTCACATTAATAACTAGATTGCCCTCCGGTGAGCTACTTCCCAGTACAACCAATTCTGCAAGGAAATAGCCCCTTAACATAGATCTAGGGGCAAGGATGGTCCGGATTGGAATAAAACCAAGACCAATCTTGAAATATTAAAACCAATCCAATCCGTTTAAATTGTAAAACAAATCCGAACTAATCCATTTAAACACAGATTAGATCGATTTAGGACCACAGATTCACATAATCAAATAACAAAAAAAAATATAAAACATTTTAATTTCATAAAAACATAAGCATAGCATCATATTAGTTCCACAATAGCAACATGTCTTTCCATAATAGCGACATACTGCTCTAGAATTTAAACAACTATAGATCCTCATCATAGAAAGGAAACAAATTTCACACTACTATCTCTAGATTAGACCACCTTATAATTAATTAGAACATCAGAAACTATAGCTTTGTTTGGGATAAACTAAAAAAGTCAAAAAGTTAGTAAAAAAAGTTAAAAAATCTATACTATTCAAGGGTAGCTTGTGGGGAAAGCCACTAGGGCAAAATTATTATTTTGCCAAATGAATTCAACTACCCCAAAAGTCAAAAAGTCAAAAGAATAAAATTGTCATTTTGATTTTACTACAATATTTTATTATATATCTTTTCATAAAAAGTTAAAAAATTTTCCCAAACATACATATTTTTTTCTCTACTTTTTTAACTAAAAAATCAAAAAATACACTTATATATCAGTTATATATAGAACTCAACCCTACAAGGACCTGGCACTATTACATAATAGTAACACAAATCAAATACTTTACACTTGTATAGGGTAATCAGACAATTTAGATTTTGAGCTAATTTCAATGATATCAGACAGATACAAAAAGAAAAAAACACACTAAAATAAATGATCCGTTTAATTTCATTGATTCATGATATTCGCCTGATAAGTTCCTAAACTACAGCATATGCCACTGCAGCTCCCGCTGTCACGCAGAAACATGAAAATTGCCACAAATCAGTTTTAAGGCCAGATAACCCATGCCCATGCCTATGCCTGAGCTTTTAGGGGTCAAGACTGTAAATGCAACTCGACCCAAGCTAAACTAGACACACTATTCTCATAGCAGTCTAATTAGAAAGACAATTAAGAAGAAAAAAATCAGAATCAATTTTCTGATTTTTTTTTTTTTGAAAAAAAAGAAATTTATTTGACAAAACCAAAATAACTCTTTTAATTTTCAAAAATTATATCTTCCCTCAAAAAAAGGGAAAATTGCATGAAAATGATGTGTGTTTATGATTTTATAATTTTTCACCAAATTAGTTTTTTTTTTTTGTTTTTTTTTTTTTCAGAAAATAGATTTTGAAAACCAAACCAAATAAAAGTGGCTGCAAAATTTCCTCAATGTTTCTTAAATATTTACGGATATCTAGAAGAAAAGCGTATAACTAACTAGAATGCAGAAGTTGATCAAACTTTCACAGGAACTACATGAAAAAAGAACAAATTACACGTTTCTTCAATTCACAACTCCCTTAGATCTTCATGAATGCAATGAAAATTTGAAGATTTTGACAGAATAACCAAACCAAATAAAAGTGTCCGCAAAATTTGCTCAATGTTTCTTAAATATTTACGGATATCTGGAAGAAAAGTGTATAACTACCTAGAATGCAGAAGTTGATCAAACTTTCACAGGAACTACATGAAAAAAGAACAAATTACACGTTTCTTCAATTCACAACTCCCTTAGATCTTCATGAATGCAATGAAAATTTGAAGATTTTGACAGAATCAGAATCAATGAAAAATCTTGTTTCCCAATGATAAGAATGGTACAGGTAGATGACACGACTAACAATTAATCCAAATAAAAATTTCAGAAGTTCACAATTTGCAAGACAAGAAATGCAATCTGCAAATCTTCTTTACGTTAACATCTAAAAAATCCTTTTAGGAATAACTAGTTGAAAACCTGATAGCATGTCAAGCCTTAATCATATAATTGCACAAAACATGACATGTTAAATGGCACCATGGAAGACAAGAAGAAAAAGTCATCAAGTACATTTCATAGGAGTAAAAATAAATAAATACCTGAAGCTTGTTGATAGCAGACCTATCACGATAGAGGAGGACACGCATGCATTTCTCCAGCAACTTAACACCGTCTTCAAAACTCAAGTTCTCATGCCATTCATCACGGAGAATAGGCCTTGCAAGGTGATTTCCAAATCCAGTAGCCACATGATCATCCTCAAAATGAACACCAATCATATTAACCTGGACCGCATCTAAACAAATTATTCATATCCCAGGATGCACAAAGCTTATCCTTAACATTAAGCATCAAGAAAATGAATTGAGGATTACTGTTCCAAGATACTTCTGACCATTTTTCACTCCTCCAAGAACAAGTGAATTCCATAGGGGGTTGAACTTGTTGCGTCGATTGTACATCATCCGAGTCAAATAGTTGTGCACTTCTTTAGGCCCAAGTGAGTTCCCATCATCCCACATATTGTCATACAAACTGTACATTTTAACCACTCAGGAAAAAAAAAGAGTAAGCAAGAATCTACAACCAACACGGGAGCACAACATCCTCCATATAGTGATAATAAAAATAGAAAACACACCAAAATTAATAAATACAGAAGAACCAGCAAATTTTTTGCTTCCCAAGTCTTTATATAGGATCAGATGCTTACATAAGCTCATCAAGGTTGTGTAAAATCTCCTGGAAATCACTAATTTCTCCACTTGCACCAAGAAGAGAGTGTTTCCCAACAGGTTTCATTCGCTCCACACTCTTGTAACGCAGGGTAGACCCGTAGGAACCTGTAAATGGAAGCATAAATCACGTTAAATAGACAGAATTTAGAACTTTATCTCCAGTACAACAGGGATGCATCTGTTGGCCCAGATAGAAGAATGTATCACATGATCAGGAAAAAGAATTATCGATGCTGTCTCTACTACTATGAAAACTCGAAAGTGAATAGTCAAATCCCTGGTGTTCACTTCCAGTACATTACCCACTGTCTGCATCTAAAAAATCATACTCTTTCTTTCCAATAGATGTTGATACTAAAGAATTTGATGTCGAACTAAAAATCAACTCAATTTAATCAAGAAATAAATATATGTCATGCAAATTCAAGTAAGACAAAGAGGCTACCTCCCATATCAGCGGCCATGAGAATACCATCCTTATACTTGATGCCAATTACTGATGTACCGGTCACATATGGATAACTGTACCAAGAGTCATCAAGTAATGATTTCATACTCAACACCCCAAGAAATTAGGTAATCCATAACGTACGTCATACTCATGAATGTGAGCAATGTGCTATGCAACATCTATATATATACATTCGGGTTAATGTGGAAGCCCAGGTTCACTGGTTCCACCCCTGATGCCATGAGGTGTGAACATAACTAGTGACACCCTCCGATAATCTACCATGCAATACATTCTCATATTTCAGTAATCTATACCCATCCCCTTTTGGTTGCACAAATTCAACCATTCCATTTAGAATTTACTAATTCCAAAATCTTTGCAATCGTAAACTAGTTAATTCAAAAACTTGTGTTGCTGTAAAAAAACAAAGGTTAAATCTCCCAATTATAGATTAGGTAATTCTTTAGTTTATAACAAATGGATCGATTTTAAATTTTTGTTAAAAAAGTAAAACATAGTAGATTTTGGAAATTTACAAGCTATATAGAAGGGTTTTTTTTTTCTTGGGATAAATAAGAGCTATATAGAAGGTTATTATTAGGACTTTACAGACATAAGCAATACTTTGTCTCCAAAATGATGTAGAAGATGCAATCTAAAAATTGAATGCCTATAGACAGTTCCCAAAAGCAATAAGAAACCAACGAATCGTCTATATATAGTCGGCTTGTTTGTATATATGTATAGATATATAGAGAGAGAAGGAGAAGACATAGTGTTCTCTCTGATGCTGCTTCAGAGGTCATTAAGTTGCTGTTTGTAGCTTGATTATAGTCCACCAACTACATGCATACATACATCAAAAACAATTTTTGTGAGTGATTATCAAATATAATAAAATCAAAAATTATAGACTCAAGTTCATTCAGAGATTTGATTTAATCCACAAAAATTGGGAACTTTTGCAGCAAAAAGCAAAGCAAAAAATTACCATATTTAATAAAATCTTTTTGTTGCTAACTGAATCCACACAATTTGCAATAAAGATTAGGGGATGAGACATTTATAAAGCAGTCCCCACCGCACCGTTTCTCTTCATTTATTTCTTATTGCGAAATTCTACATGTTTCTATAAAATCATTAAAGCCTTCTACGAATCTCTCATTTACACTAAATCGAAAAACCAATAAAACCAAACCATCGCGTTAGGTCTCATTTCAGTTCTCAACCAACAAAACCGAATGGCTTGATTCCATGCCAAATTTTCTCCAAACACAACCGAACAAAACCACTAACAAACCTAAACACGTACATTCTTTCCATGTTGTGAACTTTTGAGGCCCCAAATCATAGGGTTGTGATAAATTTTGTGCATTCAGCTTAGGTTTTCGGACCGGACCAAACCAAACAGCTTGGGTTTTCTGAAATTGTGAATTGAACAAGCAAATCATTAAGGTAGGTTCAGATTAATAGGTTTGGGGCTTTAAATCAATAAGCAAATATACAAAACCCTAATAATAGTTGGAAGCATATTATAATCTCTTAAAAATTACACAAGAACATAATAAGCTGAAAGTATATCTACCAAAACCATGAAGATCTTCACAGCTTGCTTCTTGGAAAAGCTATGCCCACAACTAATTAGGGCTCATCATTTTTCAAATTAGGGGTTTTCAAATAAATTAATTAATAGATTTAAGTATACAAAAAAAATGGGGTTCCGAAATTACCTTTGGGTGACGGATAGACATCGAATGAATGAAGTTAGTGACGTCGACGTCGATGTCGACGAAGAAGTGAACTGGAGAGAGAGAGAGAGAGACTGAGACCAACAGAGAAAGAGAGGGGGGAAGCCAAAAGCCAACTTTTTATGATCTTCTAAAAACAATCCTATTGGCTCATTTTGATAACTTTGGTTTTTTTTTTAAAAAAAAGGGGGTCAGTTTTTTAGTTTTTTTTTTTAAGTTAAAAAAAGTCAATTTTTTGACTTAAAATAATTCAATTTTTTGTTAAAAGAGTAGAAAAGTCAAAAGTTAACTTTCTACTAACTTCTTAAAACACCACTAAAATTATAAATGGGTAAATTACATTGACACTCAGGAGATTTATATTTATTATAGTTCTCCTTATTTTTTGAAAATTGTATTATTCTCTCTAGTTTAAAGTTTCATTACAGATTGTTCTTTCCAGCAATTTAATTTTTTAAAATACCAATTTTGCCTTCACTGGGTAAATTACATTGACACCCTTCGCATTTTAAAAATTGCAATCCCCTCCCCAAAGTTTAAAATAACATTTCCAATTGCCTCCTCACTTAATATTTTGAAAAAAAAATTAATTGGAAAAAAAATTATTTGAAAATAAATTTTGTTAGTGAAATTTTTAAATTTCTATTTAAAAACTAACGTAAGATAAAAATTACACTGACACCCCTTGAGGTTTATATTTATTATACTCGAAAGATAAAAATTATATAAAAATGATAATTATTTTTTATTTTTTATTTCTTAACCAAATTAATTTTTAATTTTTTTTAAAAAACTTCTAAAATTTAAACCATACATAGCCTAAGAATCTTTTGATAAGTCATTTCTTACGTCGGTAACTTATTTAATTATTTGTTAATTTTATGACATTTTTATCATTTGAGAATTGCTTGGTAACCATTTCGTTTTCAGTTTTCAATTTATATTTACAAAAATTAAAAAAATATCATAAAAGCTTGTTTGATAATTTTTTGGTTTATAAATGGTTGTCTCAGTTTGTAAATTTGAGGAAAAAATGTAAATTCAAAAAATGAGTTTCGCTGGTTTTTAAATAGAAATTTAAAATTTTGACTAACAAATTTTTTTTCCAATCAATTTTTTTTTAATGAATTTTTTTTTTCAACTAATACTAATGGAGAGTGTAATTGGTAATGCTGCTTTAAACCTTGGGGAGGGGATTGTAATTTCTAAAATGTGAAGGGTGTCAATCTAATTTACCCAGTGAGGGCAAAATTGGTATTTAAAAAACCTAAATTGCTGGAGGGAGCGATCTGTAATGAAACTTTAAATCTTAAAGAAGGGAATGTAATTTCCAAAATGTAAAGGAAAAACTATCATAAATATAAACTTCAGGGATGTCAACGTAATTTACCCATTATAAATTGTAAATTGAATGACGTTTAGTGGATTGATGGATAAGTTTTGGATAGGGTTCCATAAAATATCACCTAATTCGTTAAAGCGTATCGATTCGTATTAATTTGTACTGCTTTAATCGTTAATCGCGATTTAAATTTTAAAATTTATAATTCGTTAATCAAATCGCGCTGTTCTGTTATAGTTAATACATATATATTTTTTAACTTTCAATGAAATATTAATGTAAAAATGAGTGTGAGAGGGATTTAAGATATGAAATTATTACAAATTAATGGTTATATATATGAAGCATATTATGTAAAAAAAATTTGTGTTATATATCTAAAAAATATTATATAAATTAGTGTTATATATTATGTAAATGTATGATAATTAGTTAAATATTATTCAATCTGTCAATCCGCCCAAATCGCAATTTCTCAATCCGCTAATCTGTTAACCGACTATTCGATTTGTAATTTTACTCTTAAACCGCCCAAACCGCACCGCGCACAACCTTAATTTTCGATATGAAAGCAGATTGAAAAATATTCTAATCAAATGCTTGTTTGGGATCCCCTAAAAAATTTAAAAAGCCAAAAAATTACTAAAAAGGCAAAAAAATGATGTAGGGTTGTTTGAGATAAACTAAATAAGTGCACTTTTTGATTTTTTATAAAATACGGATTGCTGAGAGGAAGATTTATGATCTGGCTTTGGGCCATGGTAGAAGCTGGACAGAAAGAGGGCCGAGCTAAGTTGGGCCTGTCCAGAGTTAGTTTTGCTCGGTCGAGGCCCAGGTCCCATGTTTGGACCGAGCTAACTTGGCCAAGACGGTCGTCTGCTAACCCAAGTTTTGTGGGGGCATGTTTAGCTCAGTGTTAAGGTTTTTCGAGTACCAGCTTAACCTGTCTATAGCTCGGTCTTGCCGAAGTGCCACTACGCTCGCTTGTAATAGATCTCGTTGAGCAGCGCCCTCAGACGTGTTAGGAATCACGGTCGTATGAGGCCGAGGTGATGTCGCCGGGCTGCCTTATGCCCGCTAATGTTGTCTGGCGGTTTGATTAGGTGGGGTTAGCTGGATTTGTGCTGACAGATAGGAGAGTAGCTACACGTGTCAATAGGCTAATGGGTGCAGAGTTGGGTGCAGAAAGTACATAAGCAAGACTGCGCCCCCCATGCTAATGATGGAACATCATTTGGTGAGATATAATTTGATATTGATTGAATCTCTCTCTCTTTGTGTGTGTGCTAACTTAACCATCAGAGGGATTTTCCGACAACACACCGCCGGGTAGTTCACCGCCGTTGTATTCTCAGGTTGATCGGATAGACATGGAGCTTGGACGAAAGGAGTACGGACAGTGACAGATATTTCCTCCCCGTACAATTGGCGATGTCTGTGGAAAGGTTCAACAGACAAAACCTTGTCTTCCAAGCTTATTCGATCGTCTTCAATGGCGAACAACGACGAAATACCGTTGTCTGCCATTGACGGTGTTACCCTGGAATCAGCCAGACAAAGAGATGGACTCCCCGCCGTTCAGAACATGGCGGACCTGAAAACTTCCCCAGGAGGACTTCCGAGAGATGCACGAGATAAGCATTCCAGAAGTTTTGGTCGCTCGCGGAGCCCAGACAGACACCGGCGGCGGAAAGAATCACATGCTTGACGTCTGGAGTACAAGTTAAGGGACCAAAACACTGTCATCCAAAGAATGGCGGCAGAGATAGAAGCTCTCAAACGCCAGGTCAAAAGGAAGGGTGTTGCTGGAGTGGGAGACCACAATGAGCCCCGTCGTTCAGGAAGCTAGAGCCAGCGGCGCACTCCCTCAATTTCTATCACCAGAAGCTATAGGGGTGGAGACCTAGACACGCCTGTAGAGAAGTCTAGCGCGCAAGACAGTACCTACAATCCCTCGCGTCCGTCGACCACTTTGGGATATTCTTACTCTGTCCGTTCAGAGGACTTGAGGGATGTCCTGAAGGAGCGAGCTCGGCGACGGGAGGCTGAAAGGGTGCTGGCGTTCCAGCGGTTATCTTACGGAGGTCACCATAGTGAGGAGGTTATGATGCCGTCACTCCGTTTGACCGTACCAGTTCCTTTGGACACCGACTTGGTGAGGCTAAATGCCTCCCTCTTCTCCCTTGAAATAGAAACCACGCCACTCGCAGCGGGCTTTCATCAGCCCAAGTTTACACTTTATGACGGCAAGAGCAATCCATACATGCACGTAAGCCACTTCCGGCAGGTCATGACCGGACACAGGCGTAATGATGCTCTTATGTGCCTTATTTTCCCATCCAACTTGGGCGAACTGGGCTTGAAATGGTTTGAGAGACCCCCGGAAGAGAGCATTGAGAGATGACAGCAGTTGGCAGAAGCATTCGTGACTCGTTTCAAAACCAACACCAAAACGCCAAAGAAAATGGCCCACCTTCTAAGTGTCAAGATGGCGTCGAGTGACACCCTCAAGGCATACAACTCGAGGTACTGGGAAACCTTCAGTGAAATCCTAGATTGCCCGATTAACCTGGCAATCACCCAATATAAGCACGGTCTTCCAGTTGGGCATAGGCTGAGGGACTTGTTTATAATGAACCAGCCGACGTCGATGGGGCAACTAATGCAGCGCATCAATGAGTACCTCCGCGTAGAGGATGATGCGGTGGCATCTACTGTGAAGACAAATCCGGTGGTAACAGACAAAAATGTGGCTGGCAAGGTACACGTGGTTGAACAAGAGACTAACTATCCAAATGATCGCGCGTGGGGAATCTGACCGTGGAACAAATCATCGAAACTGGGGTAGAGCTCGCCGCAATGACCGAGTAGAATATCCCGCGATGACGCAGCTGATGCCAACAGAAGGTTGAATGCCCGAACAAGCATCACCACGGTATTTAAAATTCCAATCTATCGCATACTTAGTGAAATCCGTGACGAGGATTACGTCCGGTTTCTTGCTAAGTTGGGTGATACGCAAAAGGGCTTTAATCCGCGGTACCGTTGCACTTATCATAGGGAGCGAGGACGCCGGACAAAGGACTGTTTACCTTTGAAGCAACATTTGGAGGAGTTAGTCGCCACCGGCCACTTAGACCTTTACATTGATAGGGGCGTCAAAGCCGCGCATCCTGCCCCGGCTGATCCGAATGGTTTGGATGACTTAGAGGTGCCCCCTCAAGGAGTGGTCAATGTAATCCACGGCATAGTGGAGCCGGCGCGTGTGTGCAAGCTCTGAGGAATGATAAAAAAGGCAGAACATATGAGGGAAGTTTTGTCAGTCCAGCCCGCGGTCAAAAAAGGGAAGACCGAGGAGAATGACGTGATTAGTTTCTCAACTAGGGACCTAGAGCGCATTCAAACGCCACACGACGACACCCTAGTGGTCACCCTCCACGTCAGAGAGTTCGATGTTAAGCGCATCTTGATTGACCAAGGAAGCTCGGTTGAGATTATGTCCTACGATGCGTTCAAGCAACTCAAACTCCGGGATACAGACTTGGCTCCGGTAACTTCGCCACTGGTCGGTTTCAACTCGCAACTGGAGTGGCCTATGGAAAAGATAATTTTACCGGTCAAAGCCGGATCCGTGGTCAAGCAGGTAGAGTTCTGGGTATTGAAGGTGCCGTCTACATACAATTTGACCCTCGGTAGGGGATGGCTTTACGTTATGCAGGCTGTAGCGTCGACCTACCACCAGGTTATGAGATTTCCC